CAGCTGCGCCAGCCAGCAAAGTCCTCAATGTTACTGGCTTAGCCACAGGAGCAAAGATCGCACCAAAGTCGATCTTTTCTTTCTGCTAAATCCCTTTGGCAACTAAGCCGCTCTTCAACTGCTCCAGTGCTCCATCAGCATCTGTCTTCACTTTGAAGACCCAATGTTGCTGATGGGCCGTTGCCCTTCGGGTAGCTCAACAAGCTCCCAAGTCCCATTCTCAATGAGACTGTTAAACTCCGCATCCATGGCAGCCTTCCACTCTTCCTTCTGGGGTCTATTGATTGCCTCCTCCAACGTGGCCGGTTCTCCAGGCAAGGGTGTGAAGAAGCAAAAGGCCATTTCTTCATCATCTCCCTCATCAGCCTGAACCGCCAAGGCACCCTGCTTGGGTCCTCCAAAACGGCTATACTTCAGCCTTGAAGGTGGTGCTGCCACTCTCTTTTCGTGGGTAGCAGCTTGCTGCCCAAGTAGTGAAGCTCTTTTCTGCACACTCCCTTTTGTGACCTTGGCTTGTACAGCAGGCTCAGGCTGAGATGGTGAGTCCACATGCACTGGCTCATCCTCCAACCCTTCCTCTGCAGGAGGACCAGCAACTTGCTAATCACCATTGCCACTGTGGTCACTAGTCAGCTCTGACCCCGGGAGAGGTGCAGTTGAACCTCCTCCACTACGGACCGCTCAATCTCTTGTAGACGCAGGCCTATCTGCACTTGCTGCTGCTGCTGCCAGTCCTTGTACATGACGTCCTCCACAAATTTGACGTCACAACTGACCAGCGTCTTCTTCCTCTTGGGGTCCCACATCAGCCACCCCTTCGAGTCAGGCGCCATCCCAAGATGGACAGCCCACACAGCAGCTACTTCCAGCTTGTGCCTCTGGCCCTAAGGCACCATCACAAGCCCCATGCAGCCCCACACATGCAGCATGTCAATAGTTGGCTTCTTGCCAAGCCAACGCTTATACGACACCCAGTGCTTCTCGCCAACATGCGTCAAAACTCTGTTCTTGACCGGAATGACATGGCGGACAGCATCAGGCCAGAACTTGTAGGGCATTCCAGCAGCCCCCAACAAGGTCTTGGCCGCCTCGCCAATGGTCCGGTTGGCACGCTCGGCAATGCCGTTTTGCTGCGGTGTTCCAGGGCAGGTCAGCGGGTGTCGGATGCCGTTCCTTTTGAGAAACTTGGTGAAATCAGTTCCAAGGAACTCACCACCATGGTCACTCCTCAGCACCTTCATCAGTCTCATGGACTGCCGCTCTACCATCGGCAGCCAAATTTCTTTGATTCCTGCAGCGGCGTCACTCTTTCTGGACAAGGGACGAGCCCATGTGAATCGACTCCATTCGTCCACCATGGTGAGGAACTACAATGCTCCCCCAGTCCCTTCTGTCCTCGTAGGACCTACAAGGTCCATGTGCACCACCTCCAATGGTGCCTTTGCTGATCCCTCCGCACGCAGGAATGGGAATCGCACGAACTTGTTCTGCATGCATGCCTCGCAGCCGCCAAAGGCAGCACCATAACCATGCACTTGCAAGCCGTGTACCCACTTCTCCTTGTGCATCAACTCCAAAGTGGAGAGAGCCACATGTGCAAGTCGCCGGTGCCGAGTTCCCAATCTGCTTGGCCCGAGGTAACTGACGCCTTCATGGCTGCGCTTGCGCCAATCAGCTTCTCACTTTGCACACAATATTGCTCCTCCATTGAAGCCACGGCAGCCGTGTTACCCGATTTGTGCCAAGGGAGAACCGGGATCTGCCACATGCGCTTGTGGACATCTCCCTTGCACTGAAGGTCCCAAATAAGGCGCGTATCGTTGTATCCTCGATAGCGCTCCAAGCCAATGGTCTCGGTATTCACACCTGCGTCTCCCAATCGGCCAGTTGAGATCAGGTTCGCACACAATTCCGGCACCAATAGCACGTTCTTCAATCCCACAAGCTCACCATCCACTCCCATGAACTTGGCGCATCCCATTCCCATGAGTTTGGCCTTGGCGCCAGTCGCGGATGTGACTGTAGAGATCGGTGCGGGCTGGATCTCATCAAGAAAATTCGCACGAGGAGTTATATGCCAAGAGCTCCCAGAGTCAATCACCCAATGGGTGAGGGGATGAAGGAGAACCTTGGCAGCCATAGCGGGGTCGGTCATTCCTTCTTTCACAAAGAAGAATAACCCGGCTTTCCGCTTGCCACCCTTCTCGTCATCCTTCTCCTCTCCACTAGCTCCCATGACTCCCCCACTCTTGCCACCATGCGAGTTGCTTGAGGAAGGCGGGGTCCAATCTTGGGGCCGTTGGTAGCATTTTCTCCAACGATGGTCGCGCTTCTTGCAATAAAAGCACACCTCCCCCTGACCTCCGCCACTCTCCTCTTGGAAGTTCTCATTTTTTTTGCCCTTCCACTTCTTTTTGAAGTCGCTCTTCCCACCTCCAACTCCATAACCAGCACCATCCCCTAAGTGCTCTACACTTCGGCGCCTCAAATCCTCTTCAAGGATTCGCGCACGAATGTTATCCACACTCCATTGGGGTTGCTGGGAGTTGAGGTTGATGGCTAGGGCAGACCACGACTTAGGAAGTCGGATCACTATCTCCACGCACTGAACAAGCTCAGGGTAGACAGCGCCACCACTCTTGAGCTTCGTGAAGATGTCTCGCATCTCATCCAACATGGGCTGCATTGGCTCTCCATCAACAAATTTGATATCGCGCGATCGCCGAGCGAGTAGCACAATGCCTGTAGCATGTGTTGGTGAGTGCACATCAAGGAGTTTCCTCCTTCCCTTGGGTCCACACTCGGGATCACCCAATCGGCCTTTGATATGGTCAAGTTGGCGTCCACCAACCGCTTGGACCATGAGCATGTACGCATCAAATGAGCGCTTTATCCATGCTCCTTTCAAGTCCATGGCCTCTTGCATCTTTTCCTTTCCTTCCACCACATCCAATAACTTGTATTGGGTAAACATGAGCCTCATACGGAAGCTCCAGTGCTCCTAATCCTCCCCCATGAACTTCTCAATAGAGAAGACTTTCATAGGATCCACAGATATGGGAGATGGTGTCGTGGAAGAGTGTAGCACAGGGGTAGTTGGTTGGTGAGTTCCCACTCCACCACCAACTACTCTCCCTTGCTCTCCAGCCTCTCCACTCCCAGCCATTCCATCATTAGCACCTCTGGAGTCCATCTCAGCCATCACAAGGCCTTAGGCACGGTGGAATCTTGAAGAAAACGCTTGGACAGAATTCTGCCAGAAATTTCGCTTTTACGAAAAACGCCGTCGCGGTTAGCACACTTTGAACTAGGACGCAACTTAACCATCAATCGAAAGATCGGGAGCAGATCTACAATAACATGGTCTCACTCGTCAAAATTGGTTGAGAATAGATGACGATTCGTCGCTTCAAAGTCGACCACCAGCTTCGATACCACTTGTTGCTTAGGATCCGGTCACTTTGAAGACTTACGACGAACTCAAATCTCAACTAAATGCAAATCCGCTCGGTAGGATTGTGCGCGGCGGTCTTGGCTACCATTAGCAAGTTGATTCACTTGATTTCATGGTCTAGGGAGTGGAACCAACTGAAAACGTATAGCTGTTGCTTTCACTAGAAAGGATGGAGGAAGAACAAACATTAGGCATAGAATGACGAGTTGGGGGGTTTCAAGAGAACCTTGTGAGGGGAAGGCTCTCCAAATGCTTGGGAAGGATGGTGAGAACCTTCCTAGCATCAAAGAAACAACCCTCATAATGAGGTCCTTGAGGTGTCACATGCAAAATCCAATCCAATTGGATTTTACCTAGGTATTGCAACATTTGCAACTCATGCTAGAAACTTCTAGCCACCCCAATCCAAAAGTCAAACTTGCCTTCCTAACCACCCAACCAAAGATCCCTTCATAGTCATGTCCCAATAATCGCCCAATTTAGTTAATATCCCAAATCAAGATAGAATTCCCAAATCTTGGAAATCTTGTAACTTGGGCGATCTTGGTCAGAATAAGGCGATCTTGGTATCGTTGGAAAGCTCTGGATCTATCCTGCGCGATCAAGCATTTAGACTTGGAGAAAAACACAAAGGTGATAAAATCCAACAGCCATACATAAGGATTTATGCTCATGCAAATGACGCAAGCATGAATTGCACAAGCACACAGCAGGACGATAGGATGACATGCACGCATACTGACGTGCATATAACACATGTCAACCCTTGCATTCTCATCAGCTTCATTCCCATTTGTCGTGCCCCGCACTGCCCCACCGTTCCCCGCCGTGCCCTCCGGTGCCTTGCCACGTGCCACCACCTGCCATCGTTTGTGCAATACAATATGCTAAAATCCGCTCTTCTCTACTTCGTGAATGTGCATCATCCCTCGCCGCCATTCGCCTAAGCCCACCTCCATATTTCCCCGTCTCTCCTTGCTCCCCCACTCACCTCCCCTCAATCTCACCTCCTGCCCTTGTCCCTCCCCGCCTCCCCCTCGTCCACGTCTCCTGCCACCCTGTGCCACGCTGCTGCCTCCACACTTCTGCTGTTGCTACCCTACCATGCCTACAATGCCTACCATGCCAACCATGCCCACCATGCCTACCATGCCTACCGTGCCTACCATGCCTACCATGCCTACCGTGCCTACCGTGCCTACCATGCCTGCCATGCCTAACCATGCCTACCATGCCTCTAGGTTGGTATAAACGTGTTTGGCGTATATACGCGTTTCGTGTATACGCCAGCATTTGCACGCTTTACATTGGAGCGTCCTGATCGAGGATACGCTTTTCTGGGCAGGAAAAAACTTTCTCGGGCAGCGTTAAAAAACCCTTCTGGGGTTGGGTCCAGATGGGTTTCGTGCAGGGTGTGTTTTTGTTTGTTTTTTTCCTTCCCCATAATATAATCAGCAATGTCATACAAAATCAGGGATGTCTCATACTGGTCTCTCCCCACTACCCACCCTCGTCTCCCCCCCCCCCCCCCTTCCTTCTTTGACTGCTACTCATACTCGTCCTCCAAGATGTCGTCGTCATCCTCCTCCTCCTCCTCTTCCTCCTCCTCCTCCTCCTCCTCCTCCTCCTCCTCCTCCTCCTCCTCCTCCTCCTCCTCCTCCTCCTCCTCCTCTTCCTCCTCATCCAGCACATTGTAACCTTTGAGGATGGGGGGCTTCGGCTCATTCCCACACACATCCTTGCGCGTGTGCCAGTTGTGCACAACGTTCCAGTTGTGCGCAACAAACACCAAATCCGCACACTTGGCGGACCCTAAGCGGTTCCTGTGGGCAGTGTGGACTGAGTCCCACGATGCCCAGCCACGCTCACAGGGTGAAGCCAAGACGGGCTGTGAGAGAGAATCCGGATGGTGAGGGACGCAATGCGGGGGGCATCTGTCCCGTTCCACTGCCACCGCTTCACCATGCTGTAAGTGCCCGCCTTCACCTTCTCCCTTTGTGTCACAGCCTCCGCCATCCCGAAACTCCCCTTCATGTCCAAGATATCCCTCAGCCCGTCCCCCAACTTAACCAAGTAATCACAGGCCCCATCCCTCCCCTTCCCGTCGTGGCCAACGAGAAACTGCGCATGCTGGTGAAGGAACGCTTTGAAGACGTGCGTGCATTCGGCGTCGCTTCCAAAGATGTCTTCTTCCTGGTTCGCGGGGTTGAGGTTGGCGTGCATGGCCTGCCACATGCATGGCGCACGCGAGGCTCCCGTCCCACCAGTTTTTAGGATGCGGCGGATCTGTTGCTTCTCGCTATAGCACAACTGCTTCTCATCGGCATCCACGAGAGCCCCAACGTCCTCTGTGCGTTGGAGCATCACGTCGTAGATCCTGCCCATCAGCCCTTTTGCCTCCCCGTCCGTCTTGCACATCGCCTCGAAAGGGAGCTCCAGCAGCTTGGTGAAAAACTCGGCTGTTTTCCACCAAGTCGAGTCGAGTACCAATGCGGCAAACTTCTCTGCAGCCACCTTGAGCGAGCAAGCAGCCCACTCCTTCCACTCGTTGCCGAGGACCATCTGCGTGAGGGTGGAGCTGAGCTGAGAGAGACGGGAGATAGCGATGTATTGGGTCCCAAAGCGGGTCCCCGCGGGTGCGGCTGCAACACCTTCCCCTCCACCAACTTCGGGTTCTGCAAATAACCGCGCGTCCAATGATGGTTGTGGGTGAAGGTACTTATCTCCGCACCACAGTCAACCACCTTTTTCGCCCACCCCATTTTCCCCACGTCCTCCATCATCAGGTCCATGACGTGGGTGGCATAAGGAACCTGCTGAATGTGGGGCCACATCTCAATCAGCTTCTGGCACACCGATGCGTAGTTAAAATCCCCATCCATATAGAGCGCAACGATGTTCACAGGTCCCACTTTCTCCACGACGGGTTTCAGTAACCACGCAACATATCCCCCTATCTTCTTCTCCATGTTGTAGTCCACACACTCCTTCAGGACGGCGCAAGCGTCATTCACGAGGAGGACATTTGCCTGCGGCCTGCCACACTTGTCCGTCATCATGTCGGACGCGATGGTAACACCCGTCTTCTTCCAGCTAGCCTTGATCCCCATCACGCCGTTCTCAGTACCCTTGCGGCAAGCGAGCAGTCCGGCCCCGCCGATGTACTTGCAATGTGGGGGAATGTAGCCGTGACCGCTGCGTGCAACCAGGTGCATAGAGTTGACGAAGAGCAGATGGTCGATGAGGTTCTCTAGGAGGCGAAATGCGGCAAACATGAGCGCAAGGCCTTTGTGTGCTTCACATTTTGCCGCAGCAGCGTCGCCCTCAAGGTACTCGGTCATGCGGGCCCGTTTGCCACCAGCTTTGACCGACTCTATAGCAGCCAACACCGCGCTCTCTTTCTCTTCTGTCGCAGCAGCTTGTCCCTCGTACATCTTGCGCATTGCAAGGCAAACATCAACAGGTGCCTTTTTGCAGAGCGTCACCTCGCGGCGCTTCATCTTCTTCCATGATCTTAGGTGTTGAGCGCATCCGATGGCGGCACCTAAAAGACACTGAAGCAGTACTTGCACTCGTACTGTTGTGCCTTGCCCTCTTCGCGCTTGATGAGACTGAAGTGCTTAAAGACGTCGTGGACTAGATCAGGAAGGTACTCCCTTGTCCCTTCTGGACGAACCATAGAACTCTCCACTGACTAAACGGAAGGCAGGGTGAGAGGCGGACTACTTGATGCCATCGTAATGAGGCTAGTTGTTGGTAGCGGGAGAGGGAAACCGAATAAGATGGACGTTTTGACGAGTTGATAAATAGCATGTCGAGTGGCGGGAGATTGAGCATGAATGGTTGGACTGAATGAATGCTGTGAGTTTGAATGCGGTAATGTGTTGGGATAGAAATGTACAAACGTGCAAACGCGACTCGATGTACGTGACCATGAATGTGCGAACGTGCAACATGTGAAAGTGAAATCGCGACACAAGGACATGAATCTAATTTCCTGCTACCGTAGACCTCGGACATGCAATCTGACGTCGCAGTATTTCTCACCGTGCCATTCCACATCTTTTGGTGTGTTTGAAAAAATTGGTGTGTTTGCGTATAGTGTATTCGCTAGCGTTTCGCGTATTGCGTGTACACGCTAGCGTATGAACGCTGAACGCTAAAGCCCCTTAGAGTACATTCCAACTTAGCCATGCCTACCATGCCTACTGTGCCTACCATGCCTACCGTGTCTACCATGCCTACCATGCCTACCATGCCTACCAGTCACAACACTGGCTGGCAAACGCGTGACAGTAGGGTAAGCAACATGAACCTAGTAAGACTCAGGGTCCTAAACGTAAGGCAAAGAAGACGCAGGAGGAGATGGCAGCGGAACACGGTCTGGAACAGAGGAAGGACGAAGTGCCATAGCGTGTGTGCCTGGGACAGAAGGCGGACGCTCACCAGGAACACGACTACCAGTGCGACGCGCGTGAAGAGGCTAGGCAGGACGAGACGCAGGCTCACGGCGCTCTCTAAGTGAGTCTGTCTACTCAGTGTAAGGAGAAAGAGCAGGCAGTGGTGCGCCGGGCTGTAACGGGAAGCCAGTAGAAGACGGGAGGCTAAGAACCTGGCAAAGCACAGAGTCAAGCGGTGGCAAAGACGACGGTGACGGCGGAGCGAAAAACAGTCGCGGCGATGCAGTGCCACCAGCACCAGCAGCTCCAGCGCCTACAAACAGCTCCAGAACCTCCAGCTCCAGCGCCTCCAGCAGCTCCAGAACCTCCAGCAGCAGCACCTCCAGCTCCAATGCCTCCAGCAGCAGCACCTCCAGCCCCAGCGCCTCCAGCAGCTCCAGAACCTCCAGCTCCAGCGCCTCCAGCAACAGCACCTCCAGCTCCAGTGCCTCCAGCAGCAGCACCTCCAGCTCCAGCGCCACCAGTAGCAGCACCCCCAGAACCGGCACATCCAGCCCCAGGGTCCCCAACTCCAGGGTCGACAGCACCAGCTCCAGGGCCTCCAGCCCCAGTACCTCCAGCAGCACCACCCCCAAAGCCGACACCTCCAGCTCCAGGAGCAGCACCAGTCCCGGCAGCTCCAGTACCTCCAGTATAAGCACCTTCAGGACCAGAGACACCAGCACTTCTAGCGCCTCCACGACAAGCAGCTCTAGCAGCACAACTCCTCAGGCGAGTACGCAATGCGAGCCACTCTCGTGCCTGCTGTGGTGAGAGAGGCCCGCGTCGGTAATCGAGACCCAGAGGAACGCCAGCAGACTCAGCACCCCCCGACCCAACACCCTCCGGCTCAGCACCCGTAGGCTCCGCACTCGTAGGCTCAGCACCCCTAGGCTCGGCACCCCCTAGCACCTCACGGACACGCACCCCCAGAATCCGCAGCCGCAGGCTCAGCACCCCCAACTCCACACTCCCCAGCACCTCACGCGCAGGCTCAGCACCCTCAAAAGCAGCACCCCCTGCAGCACCTCCTGCAACAGCACCTGAGTCGCTAGTGACCTCTACAGGCTCAGCCAAGGGGGGCGGGAACACTTGAGACACACCTGAAGGAGCAGGACCCTAAGGCGGGAGGGAGTCTACTGGAGGGGGACCTGGAGCGAGGAAAAGCGGCGAGGGAGGGTGTGAGGATCTGAGATCGAGCTCAGAAATGAGAGTTTGAATTGAATTGAATTGAATGATCACCTGGGTACAACACGAGGCTATATATAGGCTCGACACAAGGCCCCGTAACCAGGTGTTACGCGAAGGTTCCGCGGGTCGCGAAGCGTCACGAACAGATCCTTACCGAATTCGGTAGAAGGCAATTCGGTGGCAACCGAAAAGCCAGAATTCGGTGCACGCAACCTAGCTCGGTGCTATAACTATAATAAAATATAGGAAAGCACCTAGCCTAGGAAATCAAGCAATTCATGCATGCATATAATTATCCTATGCTAGAAATAGCATAATAAAGTAAAGGCAAGCAACCATAGCTGGCATAAGCCGTCGTACTCTCACACGTCCCCCCCTCAAAGCTGGGTGGCGTGAGATACACCCAGCTTGACAAGATAGTCCTTGAGAGCACGGCGTGTATTGCCCATATCACCTTCTGCAACCCAACTGTCCTCAGTGGGGTCGTATCCCTTCCAGCGTATCAAGAACTCGAGGGTCTTGCCGCCGCGGCGCCGATGCATGAGAACGCGCTCCACTTTGTACTCTGGTTCATCCTATACGAGAACCGGTGGTGGTGGCGGTATCTGCCGTCCCTGGAACTGTTGGTTGGGGTCCTTGTATGGCTTCAGTAGCCGAACATGGAAAGCGTTGTGAAGCTTCCATGTATCTGGTAAGCGCAAGCGGAATGTAACTGGTGTCACCTGTGCCTCGACGAGAAAAGGACCACAGAAGCGAGGCCGGAGTTTGGATGGGAGGTGAGACGGGTTCAAGCTGCACGTGTCAAGAAGCACCTGATCTCCGACTGCTACTGAGTGATCACGTCGCTGACAATCGGCATACTGCTTCTGGGAGGTCTGCATCATGGTGAGCCGTCGCTGAGTCTTCTCCCATAGCTGCTGCATGGTCGTGACGACGTCATGTGCGGCTTGGACGTGTGGCGGTGTGGTTGGCTGCTGTGGTGTGAGTGGTTCCCGTCCGTAACACAGGAAGAAAGGAGTTTTCCCTGTGGCCGCATGTGATGCGTTGTTGTAAGTGAAATCTAGGGTCGGTAACTGTGTGTCCCAGTGGCTGACGTCGTCCTTGCAAGCTGTGCGCAGTAACTGTTCAACCACTTGATTGAGTCGCTCTGTCTGTCCGTCAGTCTGGAGGTGGTATGCTGAAGACATTGCAAGCTTTGTCCCCAACAGTCCCATGAGCTCCTTCTAGAACTTACTGGTGAATTTTGGGTCTCTGTCTGAGATGAGTGTAGCGGGGATGCCGTGGATGGTGATGATGCGGTCGAAGAAGAGGCGAGCAGTTGCTTCAGCTGTAGCTGTGGCGTTGGTCGGTATGAAGTGACCCATTTTGGAGAACTTATCGATGACTACAAGGATGGAATCATGTCCCCGTGAGGTCAAAGGATGTCCTGTGATGAAGTCGAAGCTAACGACCTGCCATGGCTGCTCCGGTACGGGTAGAGGCTACAGAAACCCTGCTTTTTTCTGCTTGCTGCTCTTCATCCGCTGGCACGTGTCGCAAGAGGTGACGAACTGCTGCACGTCTACTGCCATCCCGGGCCAGTAGTAATACTTCGCTATCTCTGCTAACGTCTTGTTGCTCCCAAAATGTCCCGCGTAAGGTACGTCGTGAAACTCCTCCAATAGGATCTGCCGTAGCGGGGCGTAACTCGGTACCCAAATCTTTCCTGAACCCTTCCTTACAGCTAAGTCTTTCTCCCACTGTAACAGCTTCTTGGTCTATGCTGTAGCAATCTCTGCGTCCACGGAGTACCCATGTTGGAAGAGAACCTTGAGCAGAGGGTTCATCCCGTCGAGCTGGATGCCTGCTACATGTCCGGGGCGGCTCAACGCGTCTGCCTTGTTGTGTAGCACGGGCTTGTACACGATGTCGTAGTGGAAGTGAGTTTCGAGGAAGTCCACCCACCGCACCTGTCGTCGTGAGAGCGTCGGCTGCGACTTCAGGTATTTGAGACTGCAGTGGTCAGTATAGACTATAGTCTTGGCTCCCTCTAGGTAACACCTCCACGCCTTGAAGGCTATGACTATCGCTAAGGCTTCCTTGTCATGGATGGGGTAGTTCAGTTCTGCTCCGTGTAGCTTCTTACTGAGGTAGGCGATGGGCTGCAAACCGCGTCCGTGATCCTGCATCAGTACTGCTCCGACTGCTTGGTCACTAGTGTCTGCTTCCACCACGTAGTCTTTGTCTGGATCCGGCAAGATGAGTACTGGCGCTGTAGTCAGTGCTGTTCCATGGCTTGCTGATGAGGGGTATCCCATTTGTAGGGCATATCCTTTTTCAGTAGGTCGGTCAGTGGCGCTGCTATCTTAGCGTACTGCGGCACGAACCTGTTGTAGTAGTTGGCGAAGCCTAGGAACTGCTGCAACTCCTTCACGTTCTCCGGTACTTTCCACTTCTTGACGGCTTTGATCTTCCGCGGGTCCACGTGTACGCCCTCGGCACTCACCATGTGCCCTAGAAAGTGCACCTTCTTCAGGGCGAAGTCGCTCTTCGACAGCTTCACGTAGAACTTGTTTTTCCGCAGGATCTCGAACACCTTCCGCAGATGCTCCATGTGCTCCTTCATGTTCTTGGAGTAGATGAGAATGTCGTCCAGGTACACCACCACGCACTCGTCCAGCAGGGGTCGTAAGATGTGATTCATCTCTGCCTGAAACGTTGCTGGTGCGTTGCAGAGTCCGAACAGCATCACCAAGTATTCGTAGGAGCCGTATCTAGTACGGAATGCCGTCTTGTGGATCGAGTTGTTCGCCATCTTGATCTGCCTGTAACCC